GGAGCCCCGACCACCCCGAAGGGATAGAGACTCGACCACTGTGAGTGCACACTAGGTAAACCCCGCTCCATGTGCAGTAACCTGCGAACTACACAAGAGAAGTAAACCGCACTAAACAAGCCTGATGCAACGGGCTCGACCGAGGAAGTGTTGACATGAGATTTAAACTCGTGATCTTTGATCTCCTCATTCACTTACTCCACCAACTCAACCCCCCAAAAGGGTAATAATATATTTTTTATTGCATTGATATGTGGTCATTCTCATTTTAACGTAGTAAACGGTCCAAGTTTGATTACATAACAAACATGCTTAATTTCCAACGTTATTAGTCCAAGTCAATTACTAAACTCTATAAAAACAATAAAAGAATCCCTATTGAATTCCATGAATTGCAATTTAGGTGATATTTAATTAGAAACACTTTCGATCTACGTATATTGATGTCTAAATTGAGCGGAACGAACATGTCAACTATACATAGTCCTAAACATATTGCATTGAACATAAACTTTGGTAAACGTGATCTATTTTAGGGCCTGTTTGGTAATGATTCTCATTTTCTACAGTAAATCAATTCTCATTTTCAACCACACATTCTTCAATAAAATAATATTTTCCATCACATCAACAATTTTTTCTTCTTTTTCAACCACACATTTCCCATCATATCACTATTCAAAATCAATTNAATTCTCATTTTCAACCACACATTCTTCAATAAAATAATATTTTCTATCACATCAATAATCTTATCTTCTTTTTCAACCACACATTTCCCATCATATCACTATTCAAAATCAATTCTTCCCCCAAAAAATCCCTATCAAACAAGCTCTTAATTTAAGTGGCAATCTATTCTGTTCAATCCACGTTAGCACGAGAGATATTATGATAATCTCCAAGTCGTTATAAGGAATATTTTAAAGTGCTGGCTCTTTAAAGTCTTTATTCAATTTTGGTGGCATTAGGTTTCGATATATTAGCCAATAAGTCCGCCTTCAATCTTGAATTCTAGTAAAGAAATATTTTTAAGCAAAGAGGGTGAGGAATGAGTTTTTCAATAAATTTTGGATTAGTTACATGAATTATTTCAATGCTCTTTTTGATCAAACGAGACAAACAAAGGTGAAAGGACACTTGAATACAGGCAAACAAAGATTATGTAAACGCGGGAAAGAACTTAACTATCAAACCTACGTCGATAAGTTATCGCTCGAGTTTTTCTCGTCTTCTTCTCCGGGCGTTCAATTAGTATCATAACATTTTTCAACATAAAGTTGACACCGAAGAGTTTGCACATATGCGTAATTGTAAACCTGAAACTTATATATTTTAAAAGAATTATACTAATTGTACATTTCTGAATAATATTAAAGATGACGTTTTGTGATGTGTGAAAAATTATGTTATTGATTTGAATAAGTATTATTAAAATCAATTACCAAAGTGTTGTCACGTCAAACAATGTCATCGATGATGTCAAATTTAATGTATCTGTAGCAA